CTCGCTGCTTAATGCACTACTGGAAGGCACCCAGATACTACCTTGGCGACTGCAAAGTAAAAATATTTCTTTTAACAAGCAATTCCATATTCACATACTTATTTTGGTTTATATTTGCCCCAAGCCCTATTTTATCAGAATATGCTATTCATGCATGAATCTCTCAGGCTGCCCTAAAAACCTTGACTACATGAATAAATAATTGTTTGAATGTAAGCTTTATTCAGTATTTTCATATAAACTCCAAGAGCTGGCAGTATTCCGTAACAGGAACTGAGAATTTGTTGAGGAGAAAACAGCTGCTTAACTTTTCCAACAATACTTATAAATAAAAACAAGTAGTTTTGAACAACTCCATTGTTCTTCACTATTATCTTCAGTTAAACAATCAACTAAAATTCACTGTCTTTAGCAGATGGCCTGCATAAAGTCGTCTGTTGTTTCTTTTAACATTCTCATCGGATATTTCTATGTTTACAAATAAAGCCAAATCTGTGTTTGATGACATTCTCTGGGAATTTTTGGGGGCAAATTCAGCCCTGTTCAGATTACTATTTGCAATATTGTTTTACTTCTTTGTACAGAAACTTCTATTCAAGCTATATCCCAAAACATTTCACAAAGCTAGATTCGTCAGTCACACAGACGGCAAACACAATTTTCTAAGTTAAGTAACAGGTAGAAGATGAGAGGACTCAAGAGGTAGACACAAGAGAGACTGAAAAGCTATAGCTGACGAGACAGAAACAAAGGATTGCAGCAGCAAACAGCAGGGGTTATACAGACCAACAAGGGAAAGGACTTAAGGGCTCTAAATCCTACATCAGGAATAGAATGAAATCTGTTTCAGGAAAGCAAATTATCGAGAAAATCAAAAGAGAATGCCTAGTCAGTTTTGAAATTGCTTGAGTGTTGTTTGAAAATAGGTGAGGTTGTACTTCTTTAGAGCATGAAGCAAACGGGCAGCAGAAGCACCCTGCATAAGCTGGGATCCAGAGACGCAGTGGCCTACACGTCAGAACATGAAGCTTTTGTAAGATCTTAGTAGAGCTGGGGATAAGGTGAAAGTGTATACTAGAAATGCGGCACAACGGTGATGTGTAGATTTGCATATATAGGAATACTGAAGGAAGACAGTTTCAGGAAGATACCAATAATAAGAAAAGTACTGACAAGGGGAGATACTCAACTCAGAAAGCAAATTAAGGAAGTCAAGCAGCATTTGATAACTTTTTACTCCTTTTCTGAGATGCCAAAATGTGCACTGAAATAATATTTTTTTTTCCAGGAGAAAAAAATGAGAAATTCTTTTATATGTGCACAGGTAGAAAACTTAACTCAGATCCATGTCATGACCAGCCTCCCTCCCAAGTCTGAATATGGGGATTGGATGATCTTGCAGCACAGGTTTTCTCCATGAGGGTCAAACAAAAACAGTCTTTCCCAAATTGCAACATATGTATCTCAGTCTGCAGCTTCACTGGTGAAGGGTTAAGGACTGGCTTAGCTCAAGCAGGAACAAGGATGATTTATAACCTGGGTCAAATTGAGTAGGTGGTCTCTGCACAGCTCCTGTCACTATGAATTACATTCCAAATAAAATCATTATTATCTTTAGTATATGCAATATGCTTCCTTCTAGATACACCAGCAAGTCTAGGCAGGCCCTAGTGTAAAACACAAAATAGAGAGCCATGCACTGTGAAGCTTTCTCTCTAAACAGACAAGACAGATAAAAGATGGTACAAGGAAATAAAAATGCAAAGCAGTAAAGTGACTTGCTCAGTATCACACAAAAGAAAACATGGGCAAAAATTGCAATGACTTCCTCTCTGCCTCTTTCTCTCTCCTACTATTCGTCTCATAACACTAATAATGTCTTACGACAGCATATAAAACCAAGAAGGATGTAGTCCTCATCCAAGAAGCTTGCAATAAAAGCAGGTAAGCAGACAAAAACTTATTGCATGATGGAAAATGGATTAGACAGAAATCAAAACACTGTTCTCCTAAAACAGTGGAAGAAACACTCCTTTCTCCAACTCCAGTGTAACCTAACAAAAGATCAGAACATAAGGAGCTTAACTACTGTAGCACCTAGCAGATTCCTATAGTAAATTCTGAAGGCACGAGATTTTGCAGAGATAGCATAAAAGGGAGAGTGATCTGTGCAGAAGAGATGTCCTGGAACACCAGCATCTGCCTTAATTTTTACACAAGACAATTTTTGTGTATATTAGAGAAAATATTTGATTTAGATATAAAACAAGCAAATAGTACGACAGCATGACACAAAATTAAACAGTGGCTTTGTAAGTATCAAATTTCTGTCAACTGGCCCTTATTGTAGTTTATAATTGATGACCAACAATAAGCTGGTCCCTCTCCAAACTGTTTTTCAGAGTTAATGGGGAGTAAAATGCTGTATTTTTTGTGAAATGCAGGCTTTAGAAGTCACATCAACAAAAACAAGCATGGGATATTTAACTCAACTTTCCTAGGGGTTAAAAAAGAAAAATATTTGTTCTTTTTTCCTATTGTAAAGGAAATAATTGTTTTGGTTTACCTGTTAAACACAGTACTTTACAAATGCCTTTGGTTCATATTACAACTAGCAGCAGCTCCTCAGAAACCAGTTTTAAAGCAAACTTTTATTTTCAGATGTTTTTAAACATCCGGTTAAGCAATTTAGTTACAGGTACCTTAAATCACTGTCTATAACCACTTCAATGTGTCAAAATATTTTTAAGGAAAGATGCTTGTATTTTGGGACTCTCACTAAAAAAGAAACACTACTTCCCCAGAGGATGTTAAACATAAGCAGAGCCTACCATAAAAAAAAAAAAGGAAGAAAGGTAAAAAGAGAACAAATAAATAATAAAAAACATTCTGTAGCGATCATAAAGAAATGAATATGCTTGAGGCCTGCAGAAACAGAAATGGAATGAGCAGAGCAGTACAAAACACAAGGTCACAGAAAAATTTTTGTTCTTTAAATTAAAGCATGATCAGCTGCTCTCTCAGCAGTGGCAATGGCAAAAGAGCAGAAAGAACTTTAGTTGTATGGGTAAATCACAGGGCACCCGGACAGCACAATGCAGTCATGTGAAAGCAAATGTGGTTCTAGGATGTACCAAGAGCTATTTCCAATATGCTAAGGAAGTATTAGTGACATCATGAATGGCCTTAATCTTTTTCGAATACAGAGACTAAGACAAATTCAGATTGGAATAGATGAAAAGTGAAGTGCTGGCAGTGTAACAAAGACCCTGTCACAGAAGGATACTTTATTTGATTCGTACACACACACACACACACACACACACACACACAAAGACAGAATCAAGAGGAAGAAAAGCTACTTTAGCTCAAGGGAAATACTTGTGTCAATTGGAAGTAAATGAGTGTAAACTGGTCACAAACACACGTAGGCTAGAAACTAGAAGCAGGTTTCCAGATGCTAGAGTAACCATGATGTTCAAACAACAGGAAGAACAATATCCCAAAAGCTGTTTTAAGAAAGTGCTTAATAAGATTATGAAAATGATACATGACAGCATCTCTCCAGTAGCAGGGGAGATTTCTGTTCTAGCTTTGCATATGAGGCTTTTGCCTTACTTTAATGCGGAGTAAATACACCTACTCCTTCATCTATGACCGTAAAAACATCTAGTACTCTGCACTTCTAAACGATAAACCAGAGCTAGATATCAAAGAAAACTTTCAAATTTTTCAAATAAAAATCAGAAGAATGTAACTTGGATGGAGAAGCCCAAGAAACACACAGGATTAAATTCAATACTTAATTCTCTGTCTGCACAGAAAGTGTTGCAGAATAAAAAGAAGGGCCTCAGCCTCTTTCGTAATACACGATAAACCAGATTCCCAGTCTTGCACTCTTCCCCCAGCTGACCTGATCCATTAATAGTCATTTTCTCATTGATGTTCAAGCTCAGCAGTTACCAAGTGTTTTTTGCTGTAGCTGGCCGCTGAGAAATGTTTTAACTGCACTATTTTTGAGGGAGACTCTCCTGAATAAGGCACTGTTAATGTTAAAATGGAGACATATTTTTGAATGGGTTCATGATTTCAACCTTTATGGCCCATCATTTGATACCCAGAAAAGCAGTAAGTATAGCTGTCTTCTTAGGCAGCCAATGAATCTTTGGTGATGCTAAATGCAGACCATTCCCACCAGATGAAGAAATCAAACCTACCATCCTTAAGAAAATGTTTAAGCATCTACACTTTGAATTTCTAACAGCCAAGCCCTGCACTGCAGCCATCTTGGACAGTTCAGCCATCAGCTTTACCTGTTCATTGTTCCTTCTCATTTCATACGGTACTAAGAACGATGAAGCTTCGACACGCTTAGCTCCTTTCAGCCGTTATGAACAGCCAGCTGACTCTGTCTGCAACTATTCAACGCATCCAGCTTACCAACGGATAAAAAAATCAGCTTCAAAAAGGATGCTGCATGTTATAGTAGGGCTAGACCTTTGGAATACTTTTTCATGGAACTGTCACGCAATTGTTTTTTACAGAGAAGGGAGACAAAAATAAATAAAGACCAAAGAAAGGAAACTTAACGTGTAAAAAGAAAGAAAAATTCAAGTAGAGACAACAAAGCAATATACAACAGGAAGACACCACAGAAAAATCTACTCCAGCAGAGGTGGTTCTGGTGCTGTTATTAAAGGTTAAGATTCATGAGGTTTAAATCTTCTGTAGAACTGTAATATATTTATCATGAATATACACAAGTAATTTCTTTCAGAATGTCATTTGAAATGCATGGCACTGATGTGACCAACTCCTTTAAAAACAGCTTTCAAATTATCTGCTTGAAAAGCTGGCACTCCCACCACCTACTGTTTTGCAAGCGATTAGCCAAAGGTTACTAAGCGCAGTATTTCTACTCATTAGCTTGGAAACTACTCCACATAAACAAGCTTGGGGGCTGGTTCTACTTTTCAGTACCTGTCATTGACCCCGTTCTGTGCAAAAGTAAAAGGTCTGTACCATTTTCGCCAAGTTACAGATTACTACATTCTCACATACTTAGAAAAGGAGTAAAAAACCTTACATAATGTATTTAAAACAGCATACACTGAGCAAATGGAACTTAGATAGCATGGTTAAAATAAAAAAAAAAAAGTATTTACAAAACTGCGTAAGTAATATAACACAAGCTTCCATTCCAAAAGCAATCACATCAAAATAAAATTAAAAAATATTACAACTCACATATGTTTAAGAGCTATAAACCCTTAATTTCTAACCAACTTTTTCTTTATAAAAAGCCTGTTTAAAATATCAAACTTTTGATTCTCTCTAGCTTAAACAGAATCTAAAATGATTTGTTAAATATTACTGATCATTTAGTCTTTGTCTCAAGTTTCTAGATTTTCCATTTTCAAATTTTCTCTTTTTAAATGTTGGGACTCCTTCTGACAGGTCTCCAAGGGAGGTGACTGTCTTCTCTTTAAATATCACTTTCGCATCTTCTGGAACTTCTAGCACTGGAGGCGGCATATTGTCACTCTCTGTACTAGGAAGCTCCAGGTCCACTTTTTCACTGTAAGAAGAGAGTGAAAAAAAAGGAGAGCGGGTGTTAATCTACATGGAGAAAACCAACGCTACCAATTGCAGCAAATAACATCCATATTTAACTGTCAAAGCAGCTTCAAAAAACTCCTATGAAAACACACGAGCAGGTTACAAAGTGTTCTAGCCAGTATGACCAGCATGACTAGGATCAAGAGAAAAACATGCACTTTATTTGTTCTGTGTGAACTGGCATACAAAGTAAAAAACTGAGACCACAGTTCTGTACTGTGCTTACAGAATGGTCCAACTACTGATAAAGTAAATTGTCCTATAAAAGCCAACTGCGCTGCACGTTTGTAAATTTAAGAATGTTGAAAGACTGTCATCAGCGAGCAGTTAGCAATATTTCAGTGCCAAAACGCTATTGAGTAGTTTTCCTCAGGTGACCGTCGCAGGTCTGTTATTCAATACTTCAGTTAATGTTCTACATGACAAAATAGAAAGCAGGCTTTCCAAATCAGCCAGCGACCTAAGTTGGGAGAGACAGCTTTGGAGGACAGGATCACAGCTAACACTGATCTTGACAAAGACATTATCAGAAAATTACCAATAAGTTTAAGGGGATCAACAGCAAAATACTGTGATCCACATGAATAACTTGTGACTAACCATAAGATGGAGAACAACTGAACAGTCAGCAGAAAACGATCTGGGAGATCACAAGCCCGTCATGAACCATACCAGCATTACACTACTGCAAAGAAATACACTTATAGGGATATGTTGTACTGCTGGCCAATCCGTACAAGTAATCCTTCTGCACTACTGAGTGTTGGTCTGACGTCAGCAGGTGTATTGTACCCAGTTTCAGGTACTGTTCTTCAAGAAAGTCATGGATAAGCTCAAGCACTCAAACTAGAGCCATGAGAATGACTGCAAGTCAAGAAAATGTGACTGCTGTGGTAGCCCTATAAGGTCAGCCTCCTGGAAGTGGTTAGCACTGTGTCTGGTCTCAATCAAAAGTAAATAGTGAACAACGTCATTTGTCCCTGTTATGTGTGTATGTATATCAAGCCTGTGTACAGACTGATATATAAGGTTCTGTAGCTGAAAGCATTTTTCATTGGACAGTGCATTCCAAATCACTGAAAGGAGAATTTATCAGCTCTGGAGTCAAGGAGTGGTTAACTGGCTCAATATGGGAGATGCAACGTGACCTGATGAAGTGTGACATTTGTATCTCCAATGAAGTATATCGGTGCTTAACTTAGTCTGAAGAGCATCAAAACTGTACCCAGTGAATAATTTAGAACTAAATAAATGCTGCAGAATGTGGTGAGTATGATGGGAGAGGACGATCTCCCTCTCCCAAAGCTAATCTCTTCAGACTCCTGGAGGACACCAAAACAGGAAACTGGCTATAAAAGATAGCATGCTTCAGAAAAAAAGGAGCCACCTCATGCATAGATTATGCAGTAAATATAAAGGTAAATAAAATAACAACTCCTGATCAGATGCACGTCAGGAAAACATCTGCAGCAACTCAGTTAGACACGGGAGACAGACAAGTTCCACATTTAATGCTGGCATAAGTAATTAGATGTGTTGTCTTTCATCTCCTTATTTAAATCTTTTGTAAACACTTGTAACTGTGTTGTCTACTTTGGGTGCTGTAAGAAGTTCACCCATCTGCATTTTACCCTAACCTGGCTTGAATTTTCAAGTACCTAAATAACTAGGTATTTCTCATTCAGAAGTTACCTGAATCCAAGTTAAGACTCCAGCACACTGCCTAGTGTACTCAAAAGGACAAAGATGCTGTATGGGCTGGTTTAGGAAAGGAGAAGTGACTTCCAAAGATGTGCGATAACCTAAATCATCATAAATACTGCCTTGATTATGCCAACTCTTTGAAACTCTTGTGGTTTAGGCGTTCCAGAAAGCTTCTCCTACCAGGTTATGAGAGCAGGAGGCACTTATCCAGAGTGACGGCACAAAAAGTTGAAGCAGATTTTTTTTTTAATTTTCTTTCTGCTTAACTTTATTTTGGAGATACAAATTAGGGAGCAAGAGAAACAGGAGTTCAACCAGAAGCCTTCTATTGCAAAGCTGGATGGAAGTTAGACCAAAAAAAATTTGCTGTGATAAAAGGCTATGCCCTTCAGGTGAACAGTTAGAGTTAGTACAGAACCACGAACTGAGAAACAGCTAGAACTTGCTCAGAGTCTAACAAAGCACACTCATTATGTCAACAACTATCAATTCTACTGGGAAGGAATTCAAAGAAATGCTAATACAGCAGGATCAAGATCAGGTTTCTGCGGGTCCTAGAAGACTGGCCCCAGCATGGGATAGTCAAGATAAATCTTGGACTCTGTGTAGAGTTAGCCCAACTAACTATTCATCAGAAAGAAACAGAATTTAGCCTAGAAGCTAGAGACCCTGAGAAAGCTGTCTATGCTGTTTCCCAGGCTGGAAGCAGTTGAAGAAGCAGACACAAGAGGCAGCCAAACCCTATCGTTGAAAGAAATCATACTAAGAAACATAAAGTTAGAATAACTACACAGTTAGTGTTTAGCATCTGAAAAAAAATCATGGATGGCAACGATCCATTAACTTAAAAAGGTTTATTTTGTACTCACGGTGCACTTTACACTAAAAATAAAATAGCAACATCATCCTGCATGGAAAGATGTTCCTTAAAATAATCACCTAGGCAAGAATTCTATTTCTGTATTGTATTGTATTGTATCTACAGTCCCTAAAACTGCTATGCTAATTCTGCCAAAAGTCAGAAACAAAAGCTTCAGCTCCTGAAAATAAGGACTGTGGAAATAAATATTATGAGAACATCTATTGTAAACAGATACTTACTCTGAGTCTTCTTCCTCTTTTTTAACTGCTTCCCAGTTTCCATAAGGGTTGGTCTTCTTTGAGGTTTCTTGGGAAACTGAGGTAGCCTCCTCTTTATCATCTGCTTCCTCCTGCTTAACTTCTCGCCATTCACCATAAGGGCTTAACTTTTTAGCTTTGGGAGATTTCTTTTCCTCTGTTTCCTCATTATTATCTCCTTTCCTCTAAAGAGGAAAAAACCCACCTTAAGCAAAAATGCCTAAATAAAAACACAATGTAGCTTTATTTTACATCTTTTATTTATCATTATCTACTATTTACACTTTGCAACTAAAAATAACTTGAAACAATAAATTTCATATTTTAATAACGTCTTAGCATTTTTCTCCTTGAGCTTTCATCACATACAAAGTTGAAAAAAAATTTAAATACTAGAAAATATTAAAGATGGGAAGTCCCCTCCATCTTGGCTGCTGAGAGCAAGAAGTAGCTAATACAAACTTAAAAATAAAGCTTAACATGCTAAAAAAAGAGGTGAAACCTATCACATACAGCTTTTTGCATGCGCACATACACATGTCATTTACAGCTAACAAGTACCTGTTAGTACTTTAGAACGATGCATAGTGAAACAAAAATGCATATTTTAGAATTTATATCTGTCTGTGAGTACATTTTATCTACAACCTTTATCTTAAGTTTCAATTTTGAAGACAAAAATATCTAATTGATACAGTTTTTGTACCGCCAGTGTTTTTTAATTTAACAATCCCGTCCAGACTCCTTGAATGTGACTCTGGGCAGTCACATTTACCAATGAAGGTTAGAAGTCATAATCTCACACTGAAACCCAAATCATTTTGTGGATTATTCGACAGAGATGACAGTGCCCTTTCTCAGACAACATCACACTTTTGGCAAGCTGAAAGATCATACTCTGTATCCTGGAACAGTGCTACTAATGTGCCAAATAATTAAATAAAGATTAATTTTACTATTCAAACAAGTGTGAATTTTTATTTTCAATTGTAAGGCGTAACCTAATTACAATGCGTACAGCATATTGTAAGTGGTAAAAGATAAAGTCATCTTACGCTAGAAAATGAATACTGTGCATAAAATAGACGTGAAGATAGAACTTACCTTGAAATTTATTTCTGGACTTTCCTCTTCACTTCCACTCTCTTCCTTCTCAGAGTCTGTTTCAGATGCTTTGGAATCTGTTTCTGTAAGCTCCCCAGAATGCTTGTCACGCTGACTGCTCTCATTTGAAGATGAAATAAAACCATCAGGTTTCTCCCAGGTGGATACTGTCCAAGACATTTGGATAACCACATTATTTATGTTTTTAATTCTAACCTGTCATTGCTTTGATGACATTATATTCCCATAGCAGTGCTGCTTTATGCAAAAATACAGCAAATAATTTAGCACAAGGCTTTGTTCAGTATGCTTTTTTTTTTTTTAAATAAACTTAATCAGAAAGGTAACACCGTATTTCCCAGCAGAGATATTCTCATGACAGCTGACTTCACTTTTGATAAAGTTTGTTGTAATCAGTGCTTAAAAAAGATAACGCTTAGCAAGTTAGAAGACTATGTTTTCATCTCATCCTAAAACAGGACAGATGAATTGCCCTCTGGAGGTGCCTATTTTATTTGATTTGTCCATTGATTACAAAGAAAGCATAAGGTAAGAACCCTAACTGTGAGCCTCTTAAACTCTCAGAACAGATTAACCCCTTCCCTGCGCTACTTAGCTCAGTAGCATTAGGATTCTAGTTCAGGAGCAGTCAAGTAAACAAGGAAATACAAACTTTAATATGAAAAGATCTGAAAATATCTACAGGATATGACTTCGTTTTCCATTAAAAGTAGTATTCTAGAATATACATTGAGATGAAATATTTAAATTTATTCATTTTAAAGTTGACACAATGGTCTTAAAACTGTTGTTAGTTATAATAAGGTAATTTATTAAAAGTTGATATACTTTCATTTTATGTAAGCTTTCAAATGTTATAAAAAAACCTATCTTCCCCATTATTTTATGTATTTCCAAAGATGTCCCTAGCTGAAAATACTTAACAGGTATGCTTCTAAATGTATCTTGGAGAAATAAAGGCGTAAGGTACTGACAGCGAGTGGCTCTGAACTAACAAAACAGTTTGTGAAGGGTACTCTAGATTTTCCTAGGTGTCCCATATAGTCAAAGGAGTAAGCCTTCCAGAGTGTGACTCAGACTAGGAATTTAGCCTAGAGATATCAGTCTCCTAAATTACATGCCTGAGATTAGACACTATAAATATTCTCCCTGGTTAACAATTTATCTTTTCTTCAGAGAATGGGATTAGTGTAACAGAGCTAACAAGCAGTTTTCAAGCATTTCCAAAACACCTACAACTATATACAAATAAGGGATCACTGTTATTAACTTTAAAATCTCCTAAGCCAAAATACTACCAAATACGATGATTTCAAAGACATTCTCTGTGCGTGCCACATGTCCACGAATAACTTTAAAAAGTAATACAACCAAATGCATAAAACATGTCTGAATTTAGAAGGCAACTTTAAAAATAACCAGCAGCTCATTTCCCTTTCAAAAGAACAAATCACAAATGATTTGGTTAGGGAAGCAGCATGCTGAAAAACTGAAACTTTTTTCCTCTATTTTCGGCATCATTAAGAATGTCAATTCACACCCAACAGCAGAAAGAAAATCCGTAGCTGGCATAAAACCACTGACTCTCCAGAGAGGCATTACTGATTTTACATGAGTCAGCCAGATTTGGAGAACAGATGCCTGTTCTGGGGGAGCTGCCACAAAGTTCCTCCCGTAGGAAAAAACAAAAGGGGGGAGGAAAAGAAGTAGAGGGTCTGACTCCTGGACTCCCTTATCAATGCTATTTCAGTGAAAAGATAAAACTGTGGAGATTCTTATTCAATCTTCTATAGCCGTCAAAATAAAATCCTGCTCCTTTTCAATTTTCAAACTAAAATGTTGACATATTTGTAGAAATGAAGAATCCATATTTTACATTTTTAAGTCGAGCTTGTAAAAAACCTATGAAGTACAAGTGCATACATACTGAAAACATAGACAAAAGCCAGCACTGACTCAGGCAAGAAGTATGTTTCAACTAATGTAATGGCTTAAAAATATAAAACTATGAAATAGTGCTAAAACACAGTTCACTCGCCAAACAAAACGCAGAGTTGAAAATCCTTGCTTCTGAAATAGAGCTTAACTGGAAAACAGACTCTCCTCACCTCCTGTTTGCGTGTTATAGTAGTAGGCATGACCATCTTCAGTGACACCTTCTACCCAATCTGCTGCCTGAGAAAGACATACAGATGTTAATTAAAAGGAAGAGTTTTAAAGATCAGTCAAAGCATCACTTGCAGAATATTACAATATTCATCCTTTGAGTACTTTTCGTTCATGGTAGTTTTATTTTTTTAAAGCTTGATTGAAGCTTGGCCCCCTTAAGCTGTTAGAAAATATCCCTTTTGACTCAAATGCAATTGAATACTGACTGCCTAACTTTAAGTATCACAAATACAACACATATACAATTTAACAGTGGATAATTAGCATCAGGTAGCGTAGTTCAGGTTGCCATAGGGTTGAAATTATGATATAGTCCATTATTTTACATGTTTTCGTTTTTCCAAAGTTTTCAAACCTTAAATTGCAATTTCCTTTTTTGTTCCTTGTCCTAAGTAGAGATTGAGGAAAAATTTCTCCAGAAGACAAGGTTTTGTGAGGGCTACAGAAAACCAATATCAATAAATACTACAAGCAAACAAAAAAATCTGAAATTCATCCTAAAACAGGACTTCACCAAAAATGGTTAAGAATCAAACTCTGGAGGAATGTATACCAATGAATTTGCTTGATCTGGAAAAACCCTGATTTCAACAAAGCATTCATTTTGCCTACTTGTTTAATATGTATATGTGATATTGGGCAGAAGTTGCTGGCATGTCTTTGTGGATGCCTAATTAAAACAGAAATATTTTGCAGAATCATCCACAGTTAGACAATCATACGTTACTGAATCACAAATCTTGAGATATTCCTCAAGGATCTTATTTCACTAACACTTACAGATACAACTATTTCACTGCTCCTTAGGTACTAATACTGCCCACTCTCCTACATAGGGCAGAACTCTGATGCAAGAGAAATATCAGCTTCACCATCCGTTATTTTTGCATTGATTCATGTTTTGCATTAATGTATTAACACATACACACACACACACACACATATATAGGTTTCTGCATACACACACCTATGCATTTGCTTAATACTCCAGTAAAACTGTGTTGTCTTTTTAAAACTCAATAAAATCAGAAGTTAAAGTTCTCACATGTGCTCTATAGAAAGTTATTCATAAGCAGAGAAACTATACCAGTCAGTTCAGAGAATGTAAAAGCAAGAACACCTTCAGCGAGAAAGGTTCCTCAAGGTTTTGTTCTCAAAAGTTTGAGATTACTAGTTTCAACAAGAGGAGCAAAAGGAACATTTATTTCACTTAAGTGGAAAGAGGACAAAGGACTATCCTATCGTTTTTGTTAAACTTGGATCCTGAGCATTTCAGCTCTGGTTCTTAGAGGTTTTCAGCAAATATTTGACATTAGGCATGCCAAGCATCCCACTACATAAATGTTAACTGGCATGAAGTCAACCTAACTGAAGTTGTATGTCGTCTTCAGCATGCTCTTTCATTACTGTGTTCTATCTACCTTTTGTGAAGTTTGAGAAGCAAGCTAACGTGCTGTAAAACAAGAAGGAACAGTGACTCTCACTTGAACTACATATTGCAAGCGTGCCCTTTAACGTGCGGACAATGACGGTCCTTGTTAGAGAGCTGGATACTCCCAATACTTTTAGTTCAGCTTAAAAGAGGGACCAGTCAAATGCCCCTTTATAGCAATAGTTGAAATAACTAAAGGTACCACTAAGTCAAAGATCAGGGTGAGGGAGGAACAGCAAAACACGGCCATGTGGCATAAGCGAGATATCTGAGCCAGAAGGTGTGTGTTTATGATACCGCTGAGATGACCTAACTTCAAACTGCTGCCAAGAAGGCTGTTCCCTCTCTCTTCCATCTTCTCTCCCCGCACTGGCATTCTTCTGACTCCCCAGTAAGCTAATTCAAGGAACCAAGCCCACAACGCGCTACTCTGAATATCCTCACTTTGTGTGAGCTAGTTCACTATCCAACCACATATGCACCAAGGCCCACAAGTCAGAGGACCACCTCTTTCACTGGAAGACTGCAGTGAGACTGCCTAAATATACTGCAAAGCTGCTCCTTAACTGAAAAGATAAATTTGAAGTACTGGTTAACAAGCTGTGTAAAATCACAAGAGAGAGGAATCAGAAAGCTAGAGTGACATGTGGTTGGGTAGCTCTGATATGAAGTGTGCATTCTCTTGGGAATGAACACTGGCTGGAAAAAAGCCTGCATGTTTGAGATAGACACTGTCCCAACCAGAACTAGAATAAATGCAGCGGACTTTATGTACATTTGTAAATTCATGCAATTGCCTAAAATATATACGTAATTATAACCAGTTTCTCCTATGTAAATAATCTAACACTAAGCAAAGGCTACCTTCTCAGGCTAAGGAAAAACAATATAGAGCTACAAAACGTCAGGCATTCTGAAAATGCCAGACTTTTCTGATCCCTAAGAGCAAATCCAACATTGGTGGACAACACTGACTTTAAATCATACTGTATCTGTGACACCTGTCTTCCAAATGGGGAAAACATAACCTTACTCCCCAAGAATGCTGTGAAAATTATATTTTTAAGATTTTAAAGGACTGAACTTTCAGACTGATAAATATCAGAGGAAAGTCCATTATTAATAACAAACTATTGTGTCTTTGGACTACTCAGCAAGTTTCACTATGCCTTAGAGAAAATAAAGTAAAATGCTAAAAGGTTGCTTGTACGTAGGTTTCATGAAGGAACCTACAGAAAACACAAGTTATCACATAACTGTATCCTAAAGTAACCACAGAAGAAAACAGGCACTCTTAATTTTTTGGGGTATTTGACAATTCAATCTCAATGTTTTTCAAACAGCGTTGGAGGTGCATTATAATATAACATAACACAAATACATATGAGTGCACTACTTCACACGTATAAGAAGCAACTATTCTTCAGTGAAGACTGGTCAAGCAGGAAAATTTTCTTGTTTTAAGTGTTAGGAATTTCTACATCACTGCAGTGCAGAAGAAACTCATGAACTGTAGTCTAGATCTGATGTCTCATCAATGCTCATATTCCATCAATTTACTCTAAAAGGAGAGGCTGACGTGATAATGCCAGCATGACAATAAGACCTGCATAACAGAAAGTCCATGAGAAACTTTGTTCTGAGCAGCCAATGGCTGAGAGATTAGAATTACATGGTGAAAGGGGGAAGAAAAAGATAAAGAGAGTATCAGCTATTTCAAATGTGTAATATTTAATTTTTTAAAATTACATTTTATTCACAAAAGGCTGAACAGAATTTATTCAAAGCTTCCCAAAAGCTTTCAATTTTATGGGATGAAGAATTGAAAAAGTATATTCTGCAAAAACACAACCATCACTATCACTTCTTTTCCCTTGATAAATGAAATAGTTGTAATAAAGATTCATATAATAAAATTTCAGTTTTAATCAACTATATCATAAATCATTCTATATATTCCAATTATGATATATTGAGTTTACTAAGAGTGAACAGACTTGCAAAGTGCTTAGCTTATTTCTGATAAGTGGTTAAAAGAACAAAGAAAAAATAATAGCATTTGATTACCGTCTTAGAGTTTTGAGAGCTGTCTGTTGTTTAGAAAAACAGATCCAAAGGATATGACACAGATGCCTGTGCACATACAAAACAGTAATACGGATGTGTTTAATCAGAAAATAAATCATCCTTGATCAAACCATGGTATTTTTTTAACTCCCATGGGGCAATAAACCAAAATGTCAAAGTTACAGGTGGCTTTACTGGGAATAATCACTTGCCAGTCTCTATCAGATTATGGCTGATACACAGATACTGCAGTTTTGGTATAAGAAAGTTTTTGTTTTTTTTTTTTTTTTGGTAGCCTAGGCCAGAAGAAACTAAGCATACGAGATTTTTACCTTTTGGAAATTATACTGTATGAGGAAAGACTAAGGCAAACACTAATGTCAGTTCTTAAATTCATAAGAAATAGTTTACTATATTCACATCTAATAATAACAGAAGATTTCTTTTACGCTTTAAATAGATTGTAACATGCTTCTCAACAGAAGCAAGTCAGATAAATCCTGTAAAGGTGGAAAAAAAATTATGCCCAAGTAACTGACCATTTTATGTCATATTCCCAGTAAGAAAGGTTCTGTGGAAAGAACACACCTATCTTTTCTATATTTAACCTTTGAGAGGCTAAAAATTTCCAGAAACATCTATTACCGAGTTCTCCCATTAACTTACTAATAAAAAGCAAAAGCAGTCTTAAGTTCTGGATGCCTATGTCTTCAATGTTTAATATGAAAACCCCAGCTAATTTTTAACATTTTAATTATCAATCTACAACTGATACAGTAGAAGAGTAAAGAAATGCAGGTAGTCTCTTCTCATTTATACGCAAGAATTATGTCTGCATTTGCTTCTCACTAGTTTTTACCTCCTGTGGTTGTGTTGTAGTAGTATGTGTAGCCCTCAGGAGAAAATCCTTGTACCCACTCCTTCGTTTCAAGTTTTGGTGGCCTTGAGGTACCTTGAGGTGTCTCTTGAGGTGTCTTTTTTTTTTTTTCCTTCTTTTCCTTCTTTTCCTTCTTTTCTTTCTTTCCTTTAATTTCCACTGTGTTACTCTGTGTTTTACTCTGCGTCGAACTGGGACCTACATCATCTTAAAGAAAATGATATTCCTCTTTAAAAAAAAATTAATAATCTAAACTTATTATACTAGTAAATAAATTATACTAGTCACTCTTGTAAAACAGCAATAACAAGCAGGAAATTTTGCTCTTAGGAGTGTTTTCACTCATGGCATCACACACACAGCAGGTAAATTGAAAAAGATATTAAAAGAACCTTGCATTTTAGTAATACTATAGCCCTGTGAGAAAGTCCAAATATCAAAAGACGAGTTACACGAAGAAAAAAAACACAAGGACTCGCGAATTCTCAGTAACAAAAAGAAGGAAAAGAAAAGAGTTATGAAGAAGATGGCTTTCCCAAGAACTTGAAACTATGAACTTTTTCTTTAAAGGGTATGTCTTCACACTGACAGAACAAAGGTACTTGCTGAACTGCAAGCTGAGTAGGAGATTCAAAGCTCTGCTGTTTGATAGCGGTGAGGTCCAAGCTCTCCTATTTGATAAGAACTTTGATTCCACTAGCAGAAGCGAAACATACAATTAACTAAAGGAAGCTGCAGTGCTGATTGCAAGTACAAACTACAGAGTATTTTTTCCTATCATTGTTTAATTTTCTGCTCCAAATTGGACTGTTCCATACAGAGGACACAGTAGCTAAAAACATTCTGTGCTGCAATTTCCACCACTGGCAAACTGAAGGATCCTTTTTTTTTTTTTTTAAATGAGCAAACACAGTCTTATGTTACTAAAACCTAATTTAAGAAAAAATATTCCTATTCAATATTCTTTCAATTCTGTCTTTAATCCTTTGGCAGCTATATGAACTACCTGGCTTAACTCCAAGCCTTTTCAAATCCTCTTGATATGCTTTCATTGCAGCTTCCTCCATTGCTGCAAATTCTTTTGACATGTTTTCTTCTTCTTTTGCTTTTTCCAAGCTCTTCTTTTTAATCTACAAAACAACAACAAAATCAAAAAAAGATTGAACAAATCTGACAAAGAAAGAGATAAGTATTTGTGAAAACAAGATGTTTGAGTTACCTCACTAATTCTTTTTGTCACATTTTCTTTATGATTCTTTCCTCTTTCATGAAATTCAATGCTCTTCAAAACAAGAAAAATAAAATACATATGATACAATTTTAATCAGTTAGTTTTAGTTAGGTAAAATTTAGTTAAACTAAACTTAGTTGAACAGGCCTAAATGTAACGTGTTTTGAAAATACTTACAGGAAACACCATAGCTATAAAATGTTTGCTCAGGACAAATTGAGGAACACTATGAAAAATTCAAAATCGAAATTATGAAAAAGCAGCAACACTCTGAAATGGTATTATAAAATTTCACGTTCTGTATCTATGAGATTTAAGTTTTTTATAATTAGAAACAAGCAGCAGGGAGTCTGGGTATCCTCTCCTTGCTATTCTTCTAAGTATCTTGTACGTGTCATCAAGTATATTGCTTTTCTCATTTTCCTGAAAGCTTTCAAAAAACATGCAATTTATTTAACATTCAAATATTAGTTATGGTTCTTAATTAGATCATGCTATGCTCCACAAAGAGCCCTGAACTTAAACTAGTCTGCAGGTCCATAAAATCTGAGACAGAGGGCAGAAAAAGGAAAATGGGAGAGTTAGGTAACTAAGAACAACAAACAGGACAGTGTGCAAGCCAAAAGCTGCCAGAAAGACTGGAATCAGTAGAAACCGGAAGGAGTTCAGAAGCGCTACAGGTACAACAGCTGAAGTTCTAATAGGGGTCACACAACAAACATGGAGCTAATCTAGGTGCCTAAACCTGACCTAGTGACCCTGGAATTTCTTTGCAGAGATAGACTTCCAGACGATGATTCATCTCATTCAAAGATAGGGTTATAGGTTACCCAAATCCCCCTCCTACTGTACATTTCTCTTCATTGACTACAGAAAGAGACCTAAAGTGACTAACTTACACTTGTGCTTCTGAACTGTACGTATCTAACTGTAAACAAGACAAAGCTCAGCCCTATAAGTACTCTTGGCATCAAGTCAGGAGTGTAAAGCCTACTTCTGAGTTAGAAGCTGCTGGTTCTTGTAGTAGGCAAAGTAGACACACCTTTCTATAACCCAGTAACAAAGTAACAACACCACATTACTTTCTCTGGGCTACCTGAAATGAAAGAAACTTCCTTTCCAAGCCTGGAGCACTAGCTGTACCAGGCCTACCTATAAACAGCACATATGCCAGGGTTTTGCTTTCTGTTTGCACACTAAGGCTAGAAACAGGCCATGCATATCTTTTAAAGGCTGTGGATAGATAACATTTCGAGATAGATCAAATGCTAGGTTATATAACCATTTAGAAAAAGCAGGATCAGATATTTGAGTTCTTATCTTTTACTGTCAAAGGGAACAGCATAGACCATCGCGCGTGCAGATACCTGTTTCTCACTTAACATGCTTTAAATATCACAGGTAAGTATTACAAAGACATTTTGAAACAATACATTCCATGCATCAATAGACTAGTATCAAAAGTGATTTTAAAAGCTTGCAATTCAAATTCCTCGTATCTCAGAATCATTAATGTAATACGGCAGATCATCCTACAGGTCTGTTGTCTGCTATCCAGCACTTGCAGTAATCGCAGAATTTTTTTGGCTGAGATTTCCAGTAATCCGCCCTGGAAAAGAAAGAAAAAAAAAAGATGTGTTATCTGAAACAACATGAAACCCAAAGGTTTTTACATATACAGCCCCAGAAACTAAACCTATTCTTGTTTCGGTGAGCCTTTGCTAAGAGTTTCTTACAAACTATGGGGAGCGAGCAAGAGTAGCTGTATTAACTAGTGTTCCATACAGCACAGCTCATTGGTAACACTTTGCCCAACTGATCCCTAAAGACTACAACATTTTCTACTATGGAAATGGTGCTAGAAGAACCAACAATAGAAGCCAAAGATTAACAAGCTGCACTAAATACCCTTATTAAAGACAGAATTGTCAGAAATGTGCAACTTGTTATTTTTTATAACAAGGCATACAATAAATGTTTTTAACTGTAAAACTTCTGATTTAATGTCAAAGCCCACTTTATATTCTGTACACAGTGAACTCAGCAACAGAAAGGTGTAGTTTTGGACAATGTGAGCTAATGGAAGGGGTCCTGGAGCAGATTCCGACCTGCGGGGTCACAGACAAAACAGCAAAGGGTTTAAAAGTTTCAGTGTAAAAAAAAAGGAGTATTTTTGAACCATGCAGTTTAGATAAGAACTTGCATATGTGTGAGGAAACACGAGGGAACTCTGTAGAGCTCAGAAGTTAATACATAAAAGTCCTTAATAAAACAAACAACCCCTCCAACAACTAGATAAAAGCTGCTTCTTCATCAACAACCTTTCAAATGCCAGATGAGGCTCTCACACGAACAGAAATAAATTCCATTTCTTGCTGACTTGCAGAAATAGATGTAATGCTTCAGTTCAACAGAAAACATTCCGGCAGTAAGCTTTTATGTGTTTAAATTAAGAGAAAAAGAATGTGGAGCCAACAAGAAAACAAAAACAACTTAAGAGAACACTTGAAACACCAGAAACATTAAAAAAAGACAAAAAAAGAACTCTGCTTTCCATCTGAAGATCAATGCACAAAGTTCAAGGAAAATAGTTCCTGACATATTTATTCAACAAAAACAAAGCCTTCTCCATGCACAAAATAGTATCCCTAAACCTTATGGTATGTACAAGCTGGTCTTTCGTAACAGAAACAGACCTGACTGATACAATACTTAAAATTGAAGCAAAAATATCAAAACCAGCCCTCCTACCAAGGCTTAGTGTAAAATACAACTTCTAAGAAGCTATTACAACTTAAAATTGTAAATCTGAAGAACACACTGCAAAAAATGCAGCTACTTGTATGCGATACTGCGTTAGCAACATGCTGCTTTTCAGGCAATTTTCTGGAAATCTAGAAAGAAGCAGCTGGGCTTCCCCCTGATTTAAACAGAAATCCGCTCATCCCTAAATGGTGTACTTTAAAACTGGGTGATTACTTAGTCACACATTTAATTAAAAGGCTTTTGGGATTTATATTCTAAAATGCACTCAGGCCAAAGCCCAGGAAATCTAACACTCTGGCTTGAAAACTGAGCGGGTGGGAGGGAGATTCTCACAGAGCTCAGAAATACCTCTAGGCCCTTTCCCTTATTTGAGCTACAGCTCCTAAATTGTCTCTAAATCCTTTGCCATCATTTAAGATAAATTTCCAGCTAAAACTTGGATTAACTTCCCTAAGGTACAGGACCAGTTCTGACAGAAAACATACAGCTTGCAAAATAACCTCAATGTGTTTCAGAGGTGCAAGAACATTTGTGCATTTCCAAGCATAACCTAATAGCACTCCTTCTCTTGGAGAGCATCAAGCTTAAGTGCTAGAATTAAGACTGTACAGTTACACTTACCAAAAGTCAAGACATGAGAGTTAGGCCCCTCATATTAGAGAAATCGTGCTGGTGAATCTGAGGCCATATGCAGGGCTTAAGTATGAAACCTTGGCCTTTAAGTTAAAAGCCTTTTGTCTTCATCTGCTATTATTTGTGACAGACATATGAGCTGACTCCATGACGTTAATTATAAAATAAATGTAAAAAATACTCAGTGCTGTAAACCTGGAATTATCCTGAGAACCTTAAATTTTGCATTTCGTGACTAAAAAGAGTTAATTGCATAAATTATGGTTCCAATTTTGAGACTTACGAGCATGCAGAGTATTATAATGCTGAGTAGTTCTCTTAGAGATTTTCCAGTTCACTTCATATCACTCAAAGAAAGAGCAAGCTCATCTGAAATATCCACTCAGTAACATCTGCCGCTGTAACAACGATGGAGCCTGCAAAGCACTAGCAGTGTTGCAATGGGAGTAAACGAAAGAGGGGTGTTTCGGAAAGGGAGCAGCAACTGAAGCAAGATCCCACTTCAGTAGAACTCCACAAGATTTCACAGGCCCTGCCTACAAGCCCGAAAGTTAAGCCAGCTTTATGACAACGTTTAGGTATGCAATTTTTTTATTAATCTATCAAACACAGGCTCATGAGCAGATGCAGTTAAAGTGGCATAAAGCTGGCTTATACTTGTATAATTGCGTACAAACAGGGGAATCCTATTTTTTTATAGAAGTCACTGTAGTCAAAACAGTAGAGTTTTTAAGAATACTTATCTTCCGTCCGCACTTACATCACTAAAGTTAAGGCTGACGCTTGACTTCAGCTTTATGTTACAACTGGTCCAGTCTGCTGAGGACCAGAAAGTTGACTGTCCGGCCATCACCATTACAACCATCTTTCTTCATTTCACTAAAGTGAAGTGAAAAAGCAGTCCACATAAAGCTGAACGCATGGTTTTTACACATTTGCAGGACTGCGACACATGCACCGTATACATTTATTCAGGTGAGGCCATTCAAACAGGAATGCGGGCATTGTGATGAGATAAATTTCAAGAGGTGCGCAAGCTTTACCGTGAAGCTCTTCCTCCCAGAAAGATTTCTGACAAAACGTCAGTTTGGAGCCCAACCTACCAGAACTAGCGGAGCAAGTGAACTTGGCAAGTTGCTACTGGGACTACAGGGAACAGAGTGGTGCCAATACAGATGGGTACGGGACAACTTTTGGAAAAACAGCCATAAACTTTCAGCTAAAGTTGGAAATTCTGTACTAACTAGCAAAAAAAACTGTGTCTTCTGAAGAACAGGGATTTTATTTCAACTTCTAATGGTCAAACCACCCAAGGGAGAATTTGCCAGTTCAATTCAGAGGCATAAGGGAGATAGGGTGGATGGGGTACAGGGAGTGAACATAAAACTGGTTTATTGGAGCTCTAACAAAATGGCTAACTCCTTGCAGCAAACAGCTGTATAGTGCAAATAGCTTCAAAGTTAAAAATATTTTTAGATTTTTGAAGTTCATTTAAGACATTGGGGGAGTGAGAACATAGGGAAGAACAAATACCATCTCTGTATTAACAGCTCCACATTCATTATTTGCAGCACTGAAACTGAAATATTTTTACTTTGCCTAATTCCTTCCCTGAGCCATTAGAATCAACCTATGTTAAAATGGTAAGAATATGGACTGCACACTCCTAATACCTGTGGGCCACATGTTTGGGAGAACACAAAGAAGTTCTGTCAACAATATGCAGAAAGTAACTTGAAGAACATTCCAGCAGTACTCGAGTCCTGCGTCCCAGAACTCTCACTTCAGATCTTCCTGCCAACGTGCATGTTTCTTCTCTTAAAAACTTATAGTATTATTAATGTTTTAACAGATGGTGCAATCAGCCTTCCTATATAGCGAAGCTTTAACCAACTCTTAACAACGAATCTACCTTCAGTTGATATAGCTTTGCCAAACTTTATTTTTGAAGTCAGCTGAGAGTTTTGGGTCCTACCCCACATTGGCTGAAATTTATTTATATTTATATATATATATGTATATATTTATATATATATAAAAGTGTGTGTGTGCGTGCACGTGCATAAATTATATATATATATATATATATATATAATTTATGCACGTGCACGCACACACACACTTTTATATATATATAAATATATACATATATATATAAAGGAGAGTTAAAATCACATAAATGACCCTTAGGCAAAAAAAAAGCTCCTGAGTTCAGAACTGCTATCCTTGAAACTCCCAACCATTTGATGCCTAATCTTAGGAAAAGGGAGCATTGACTTTTCTTTTATACAGCATAGTAGCATATACAGCTGTTGTATGCAAAATATTTTAGCAATTCTTGAAACAAAGACTGGAACCTCCATGTTCCAAGGTCATGCAAGTGCCTCAGCTACAGAATTATGCCTGCATTCTCTTTTCCTTTCACTGAAGGAAAGGATGGAGTATGTACCCAGTTTGATGTGAAGGTCAGTGTTTAAGAATGGGTGTTTGGCTTCACCCAGGATGCAGACAGAGTTGAATCCAGGTCTTAGACTTCCAAGTCCACAATAAGTGGTCCAATAAGAAAGCATTGCAACTATATAAAAATAGAGGTATCTCTGCCCCCACCCACTATGTGTCCAACCTCCTGCCCTAATAAAATCAACAAAAAAGCATGATCCTTGATTATTTTGTCATAGGGAAAAAAAAAAGTTATCATCATCTTCACAAGAGGCTTTAGGGCTACATACCCGGAGTAAAATATTCTAGTCAGAGAATATATATATATAAAAACACACAAACACATATAAAAATAAAATAAATAAAACTGATTCAGGTGGTTCTGAAGACAGGAAAAAAGCAACTTTGCCATGCCAACAAAATCGGGAAGCATTTGCTTTGAACGGATCTGTTTTAAAACACCAGGCTTGAAATTTGGCAGGGATGCCGGGGGCTTTATATCAGTGATATATCTGTCCAAATTATGTGCCTTTAGCAGAAAAAAAATATATCACACACATGCTCAGCAGTCATCTTTGATTTTAATATCTGCAAAGACTTTCCATACAGTTAATATCACCAAGCCTTCTACAGGTTTGAGCACTGAGCAGCCTGGGCATGCATTGTTCTCTTGAAAAGAGGTTTAGGCAATATATAGATCCAGGTTCTTGACTACACAAGGAAATTAATTCAGATAGGCTATTGTGGGATAAATTAACAGCCACTCAACAGGACACGTTGCTATTCAGGAACGCTAACAAATTTTATTTGAGAACACTGTGTACTTCTAAAGCAAAATAATAATATTGTGTTTAAAAAAAAAAAAAATCACATATTTCACAGTAGAGCCTCCACATGGGATGGGGAGGCGTTCCAGAACAGCTAATTCTAATACAATTATCCCAGTGTATTTTCTGTATTGGCAAGCCCTAAGGATGATAAACTAAAATCAGCAGCGAAGGAAGCCAAAAGGGAAAATGAGGAAAAGGTCCTCTTGTACTATGAACAGGACGCAGTGCAATGACCCTAATGACCCACGCTCCCTAAGACTTCACAGCAACTCTTCATTCTTAGTGCACTTTAATCTTATCCTAAAAACTCATTCTTGATTTTTCTTTCATTTTGTTTAAGAAAAAACAAAGTATATCTACAAATAAGGATTCAAGAAAAATGAAGCCCTGATGCACCTACTTACTACACAAGACCATCCTCCTAGCCAACATAACCTTAGTTCACTGGCCCTCTAATCATCAAATGCACTTGTATGCTTGGGCTCCTAACGTGGAGTAGCACTGGATGAGAATTTTATCTTAATGAAACAGGACAGTTCTGTGAAGGGTTTAGCTCTTCTGGTCATCAAGTTGATTATACGTTTTGGCATTCCTTCAGTAAATGGCAATTTACAATCCAAACAGCTGCTTCTTTTTATTGCTGCATTACCCCCCTCAAAATAACATACAATACAAGTCATAATCCTACAAGACAATCTCAGCAGACAGTGGAATTTACATAAGCTGCTTGATCTGACTCTGTATTGGTGCTGAAGATCATTTGCATGGATCTGCTTTGCCAGATCCCTTTTCTAAATTTTAAGTTACCTATGTTTACGTGAAATGGAGCATCGTGAACATTTGTAACAACGTACAACAATGCACAACAATATTAGGGCAGAAAGACTTTTGTATGCATGGAGCTCCAATAGGACTCATCTCGCCTAACTTTAGTTGTCTAAAAGATTAGACACCTAGCTGTCTAAGTTCTCTCATGTTAATGGAGGGAGACAATCCAATGGCTCCAAAGGGCCATTCTTCCCATCCTAAAATAAACATCTAAGAAATAAGAAATGAATTGAACTCTATAGGTGCGTGCTTCTTCTTCATACAAGAAGCCTAAAGTGAAAAGTCTTAGCTAACCTCCAGAAGTTAGGTATCTAAAGTCAGGGATATCTACTGAGAGCAGAGGTCTGCTGCTGTAGATCCAGGTGAAGGATACAAGCTACAGCAGGAAGACTATGATAAGGATTAGAAGAAAAAGGCAAAACCCGTAACATAAATTGCGTCAAGAAAGTGTTCAACTATAATTTTAGCAATAACTATAGTTAAGAACACAACCGTATGCAGTATGAGCCTGCAAGATATGGCTCACAAACTTAACCATTGCTTTCCCACAAAAAGATCGGTAAACACATTTCTGATAAACTTCAGTTTTTTTTAAAGCACAGAAGTTAGGAAATCTTGAAAAATAATGGAAATGAGTGAATGCGATTCATCTGACATTCTCATTTAATGAAAACCAAAGCTTAGATTTTGAACTCCGCTCCCACCCCAAAACCCCTATTAACACAGGCTTCACAGTTATTTTACACACCTAAAATAGCGACATATAGCAGAACTGAGAAAGAATGGTTTCCTTGCTATGATTTACCCATAACTAGAGGTACCAAAAGGAAGCCTTGCTTTAAAGGGGAAGGGGGGTAGAAAGCTGTAAAGACTCGTTCGCAATGCTCACCACCCCAACGCTGCAGCACAAGAAGCAGAAATGAAGTCCCTCGCAAGCAGAGAGCGAAGCTACTCGGCGTGTTTGGGAGAGATAAGGGTCAGAAAACGCAGGCAAAAACAAACAACGGGGCGGAGGAGATGGGGTAAGAGGCGGACCGAAGCGAGAAGGAAATAATCTGCAAGGTTGGGGTGGGGGGGTCCCTGGCTGCAGCTGGAACACAAGTGCCACTGCGGCTGCCCAAGGCCTGCGGGGCACCGGGGGTCC